TGATTGATTTGATTGTTGGCATCTCTGCAATCGACATTATCCAACTTCAGGAACATGGCGCAGTATGCTACAACGGTGACGTGTGGGCATTGCATGCAGTGTGTGAGTACACGAAATTTCATGAGATCTGTACTCTCAGGAGTCGACACAAAGCTACTGTTGTTCCTGCCATTATTCGACTCATTAACAAGATTGAAAGAGTATACAGCTACTAGGTAGCTATAGTCTTCATAGATAGAGACGTTGGGTATGGCAGAGCTGAGGCACACCTCGGTTCCTCTGCTCAAGAAGAGCTATCATCAGCAGGTATTAAGGTAGAAATAAGATCACCTAATACTCCAGCACAGCTAGGGGGTGCAGAGAGAGCTAGAGCCGTAATTGTTACAGTCGCCAGAGTCATCCGTATCCATGCTGGTCTACCTAAGGCACTAGCTAATGAGCTAGTCTGTACTGCGGTAAGACTCCTCAACGTCACTCCGACAAAGGCTCTTGAATGGCGTACGCCACAAGAGATGGTCACTGGCATTCGACCAGATCTATCACGACTCCATATCATTAGAAGCCGTGGATTCATACTTGACAAGCATCTCCTAAGAGGAGATAAACTGGAGAAGCGCACCTTTGAAGGATTCCTTATTAGATACGACGCTTCGAACATCTATCGAGTCTAGATACCTACCACGAATCGAGTTATCCGTGTACGAGATGTACGCTTCATTGATAAGCTTTACAAGGAGAAGCCATCAACAACACCCGTAGAGCCTCGCATTATCGAGACGGTCCACATTCCTAAGGAGGAATACGATGGAGATACCATTGTCGTTGCGCAGCCTGTACGACAACGACAGGAAGCAATCACTACGCCTGTCCTACCACTAGATCATGTATCTAAAAAGGAGTATAATGGTGACACTATTGCAGTGTATCAGAAGCCTGTTCGCCAACTCCTCTCTCCATCTCCTACACCCGCTTTCGAAGGACAAGATCGAAGTCCTTCTCCTGATCCAGTTGAACAACAACTACTGCAGGAGTCCTCTGCTTTGATGGACTCATCTCCACACAGGACACCTGGGGGGTGGAACAACTACGACGACGACGCTGAGATCTACATACCAGATCGACATCAGAACAATGCTCCGCAACGACGAGACCCGAATCTCTTACAGGACAACATCATCACTAGCAGACGACGTCGCCAGGCGCACTACATCGAAGCAGCCCCTGACCTTTCTAAGTACTTTGCTTTTTCTGCTACGATTGCGCAAGCAAATGATGCTATCTCAGCTGCATCACAACCAACGCGATCTGATCCTACTCGCATTCATCGCGATAATCTTCCTTCTCCACCGCATCACTGGAAGGAGCTCAAGCACCACCCACATAGAAAGCAGTTTGAGGCTGCCGCTTACACTGAGTTTAGTGACTGCTAGAAGAAGGGCACTTTTGCTAAACCAGACATTACAGCAGACAAAGCAGATGCTGTACCTCTTATGTGGGTATTTACCTACAAATTTGATGAAGATGGATATCTTCTCAAATACAAGGCTCGAATTGTCGTCCGAGGAGATCTGCAGGATCAGTACGGCGATACGTACGCAGCTACTCTTGCTGCTCGCCTCTTCCGAGCTCTTATGGCTCTTGCATGTGCTTTCAACCTTAACGCAATACAATACGATGTGCCAAACGCGTTCCTTAACGCCACACTTAATCGTCCTCTACATGTACGAACTCCGGATAGATTCTAGGATAGATACGGCCAGATTCTTCGACTTCTGCGCGCCCTGTATGGCCTGAAGGAAGCTCCACGCTTGTGGGCTCTACACCTCCAAGCTTTACTGCGAAAGCTTAGGCTACACCCTGTTTAAGGCTTCCCATGCCTTTGGATGAACGATCGGATAATCCTGTTCTTCTACGTGGACGATATCATCATCCTCTATCACCCCGACTACCAAGAAGATTTCGAGAAGCTCGAACGACAGCTTATTAAGCTCTATAGCCTGCGCCAAATGGGCAACGTTAAATGGTTCCTTAGTATTCGAGTTGAGCGAGTTCTTGCTAGCCGCCAGCTCTACCTAGTCTAGGATGCGTTCATCAACAAGGTCTGCACTGAGTTTGACCTTATCCGCTCTGATGGAAGATACCCTTCCACGCCTCTCTCCTCTACGTCGAGGCTATTACCCTACGATGGAGTGTCTGATCCTTTGCTTACGAAAACCTATCAACGTCTTGTAGGCAATCTGGCATATATTAAGATCATGACGCGTCCTGACGTCGCACATGCCCACTTAATCCTTTCACGGTTCCTGATCAATCCAGGACCAGTTCACCTCTCGGAGATCAAGCACGTGTGGCAATACCTGTACGGTACTAGGTATCTGGCCATTAGTGCTCGAGGGGGTGAACCTACCCAGACGTTTGCAACAAAGATCAACTTAACACTGCCTACGTTCTTTGGTGCTGCTGATGCATCATTTGGAGACGACGCAGAGACTCGTCGGTCATCTGCTAGATATGTATTCATACTCTACGGTATGCCTATCGACTGGAAGGCTACTGTACTTCGATCAGTCACCCGCTCTACTACTAAAGCAGAGCTCTACGCTCTCTCTGCTGCTGGCGTTGAATCGCAATACTAGGATCGTTTCTGCCGCAACATTGGCTTCACGCTTCACACCAAGAAGGCTCTCTGGTGTGACAACGCTCAGACTGTACGCCTCGTACAAGGCGACTCTAATCGAATCTAAACTAAGCTTCGTCACGTCGACATTCATCAAATGTGGCTCCGCCAAGAGGTGGAAGCTGAAAGGATTACTATTAAGTGGAAGCCTACTGCTGAGATGCCTGCTGACGGCTTCACTAAGCTACTTCCTCGTCAGAAACACGAGAACTTTGTCAGACAGCTGGGCATGAAGGACATCCGTCATCTCATCGTCAAGGACGTGCCATGTCCTGTGCCTCATCCATAATCTAGTATGCATCTCTTTCAATTTGTTTTTGAGGTATCCATCTAATATGGAAACCTCAGGGGGTGTGTCAGCCCTCAGGGGGTGTGTCAACTAGAATGTTCTACTATCGTCACAGCTACGTAACACACTGCTGATCTGGAATGCTCCAGATACTCTACTTCATGTATATAGTCGCTCTCTGCAACTCTCTCAATAAACCAACCTTCTCTCTCATCTCTCCTCCGATCCAACAGGTAGCTATGTACTTAGAGAACGGACGGATAATGCTTGGAACAGAAGAAACACTTCCTCCACCTATTCTAACCCTAAATCAACCTCTGTAAAGCTTTTCACTGTTAATAGCCCGAACAGTTAAGCCGTAAATTTAAATCATGGTATATACAAGCCACCGCAAGCTATGAGGTGGCTGCCGTTAATCCAGATAGCTCTCGGCTCACAAAGCATGGCAACTGACCACGCAACCTCTTCCAGAGTTCCAAACCTTTTACTGACTGGAGTGGCAGTGGCAAGTAATTGGAGGTATTTTTTCGCAGGCTCTTCCACGGTGTTCCAAACCCGGGTTTGCGTTGGGCCTGGTGAAATCGAGTTTACTGTGCACCCGTAAACGGGGGGCAGTTCCTTCGCCCAGACGCGCGTGAAGGCTTCTTGCATGCCCTTCGTTCCCGCATAGATCGTTTGGTTTAGGGGGCCCGTATTCGACGAGATACTAACAATATTGACGATGCGTGAATCCTTAGGTGTCAGATAAGGTAGAACGCCCTGCGTCATCAGAAAGTAACCACGCCCGTTAAGGTTCGTCGAGAGGTCCCAGTCAGCCAAGGTCGTTTCCTCGAGTGGCTTGTTGATTGCAACTGAGGCATTGTTGATAAGATTGTCGATACGACTATACTCCTTCACAGTCTCTTCAACAAGAATGCGTGGCCCTTCTAGAGTAGAAAGGTTGGCTTCAACGACAATTTCTGAGGTGTGTAGTGAGGAGAGAACCGTTTCTGCATATGCCTTCTCAGCCTTCCAAGGGTAATTGACCACAACATGAGCTCCCTTATCGGAAAGCTCTCTGGCAATGGCTTCGCCAATTCCGCCCCCAGCTGAGCCCGTGACGATAGCGACCTTGCCAATAAGCGTCTGTTCTACCATTATTATTATTATTATTATTATTGTTGGAAGGCCTTGTACGATCGTACGGTGAATAACAGTAGCTAAGGTAATCTTGTGTATTGGTATTCTGGTGTATGATGATTCTACGAATGTGGGGGCTACGAAGGTATACATAACGTTGGGTCCGAGTTGGGCCGAAGTAGGATCGAGGCGGTACATTGGGCCTTATTAGGCGACACACCGTGTGTATGCCGACACTGGCAATCTTTTCTTATTGTAACGACTGATGTAAGGAAAAACGGGTCTTCTAAAAAGAACACACTGAGAGGGATTCCAAATAGGCATATGTGCCTACTCCGTAGGTCGCTGCACAGATCCCTCTACTCGGATTGACAGCTTGTTGCTTTCGATGAAACGTTCTAACGCGCGATTTGGTGTTGCTTTCGTGAATGCGTCCGCGGGGTTGTCCTCTCCGTTGATCCAGCGGATCTCAGTGATCTCGCGACGCTCGTATGACTGCCGAAGCGCCATGATGTCGATCATCAGTCGCTTCTCAGCAGTTGTTCCGAGTTTGACGAGGCATTCATACAAGGAGTATGAATCCGTACACACAATAAGTGGGATCGGTGGTAGACCTAGGCGTCCTGTAATCATCTTGAGGGTTGTCAGGATAGCGATAGCGATGTCGACACCGCTAACCATGCCGTACGTTTCTGAGGCAAGAACGCTCCGGGTAACGCGTTTGCATTTGGTCGAACTCCAATGGATTACGTTACCACGAATATCAAACGTGCTGTCTTGTCGACTCGACTCATTCGCAAGGATAAGTAGGTACCCTAGCTGTGAGCTAAGGTCTTGGTTGTTCGCGAAGGATCCGTCTGTGAACACTACCAGCTTTGCTGTAGCGAGGTCGAGAGGGACGTATCAGCAGGCCTCGTTGTATGCTCTCAGATTGCCACTGCAGCCGGCGGTTAAGCTTCACGTATTCTGTGTCCTTAGGTTGTTGTATTTGCGCAGCCGCGGAAAGATCGAACGATGCTTCAGGTTGCATATCGACGCA